GACTAGCTCAGATGTAGATGTCTGCAATGTAATTTTCTACAGTTACGTGAGATTATTCTCACCCTATCGTCTCACATTGCATTGCAGTATATTTTGAATATTTTCCATCAAGAGAAGAGATATATTTGTTACATTTATGCAAAAAGTTTAACTTTCTAGCTCCTTATTCATGCTAAGAATCTTTTTTAGACCAACAGATGTGTAAAGCTTAAAAGCTGCAATAAAAAGGATGTCTATCACCAAACGGAAGACTTATCATTAAGAACATAGTTATTATCATTAAGCAACCACTCATCAAAGGTTATCATATCAAAGTATAACCACGGTTCTTTTAAAAAACCACTGCTATTTCAAGTAGTATTAGCAGCTGAAATTTCTGACCCTACCTTATTACTTCAGGAACTTTCTGCAAAGAAAGGTGTGAGAACACTTTACGCTTAATCTGCTATCAAAGAAAGGTGGCTAGGTGGACCAATAAGCAAGGGAATATCCTAACTCTTACTTCTTGCAAATAGTCCAGAATGACATTAATGAAGTCCAAGACAGAGAGGTTACAAGAACCCTTTGTGGAGAACCTGATACATCTTTCCAGGTCACTGTTGCTTTGTAGACATGCTGCAGTGACAAAAGCCATTTGGACGAAGCATGGCAAGACAAGGATGACACAGCGACTCATTAACTGGTAAAGATGACCTAGATATTAAAACCGCATTAGATAGGGTTACTGAAATCATCAGATTGCCTTCACTTTTTACCTGTGTTGAAACCCTTGGATCTGAAAGAACATGGAATCGCATAGGTCAGTCTGCCTAGCTATGCTATCAAATATTTTTGACAGAGACTATGAACAGCATTTATATCAAGTGCAGAAATCTTGATACTGTTTACTGATATCCAAAGCAAAATAGAGCTATTTTGACAACTCTCAGTTCTGAAAGATGGCTTCTAGGATGCTTGTGGGACAACAAGCAAAAGCACTTGAGTGCACCAAAATACCTGGGAGGAGATCAGCTACACAACTGCAAGTAACAAAGTAACTGCTTGAAAAGGAGTTAGAGGTGCCATTAGGAAAAGATGAAGGATTAAGGAACTGCTGTGAGACACTCTATCCCATCAGATAATGTTTTATACGACCATATGGGTAATGCTGTAATCTTTACCTGTAATTTGAGAACTCTGTATTATCAACAAATGAGAATTTGAATTCTGAACACTGGCTGTGATTGTTAGCATTTTGAAGGACTGCAAGAGATGCTTTTACGAAATAGAATCCTTACGCAACAGTAATAACAAACATGATGGGAGCAAAAGTTGTCTGTTCTTCTGCAGACAATAGTTGGAAATATAAAACTTGCAGAGAAGTTAAAAATAAAAATAAAATATAATAGGGAGCTGGTATGTACATATGTGTATGTATACACACACTCACCAATTATAGCCAGGTTTGTAAATCACATAGGTGCAGTAAGAAGCTAGTCATGCAAATGTTAATGGAATGACATTACGACTGTTCATTTAAGTCCTATCCAACCAGAAATCCATCGTAGAGAAGAAAGGCAATTAGAGTCCTAACTAATTTTACTTAATACTGATGATTTATGGCTGAATTCAGGGCTATGCCACATTTCTGAATGTTTGTTCTGTAACAGGGATTAAAAAAAAAAAAACAAAAAACAAAAACCAACCATACAAGCTATTTTACTAGGACTGAAAGACATGAACTGGCAGTCCCTTTATCACTGAAGTCTCCAGACAGGAAAATGGGAATAGCTTCATCTCAAGTGAGCAGGCATTTCTACCAACACCTTACACAGTTACTTCATGCTGGAGAAAAAACAAAGGAAAGAACCTTACATGGGCTGTAGTTTTAGCTGATACTGAGGGAACGGAGTATTGCAAGATTTTCTGACAGACAAATTGCAAAAAGCATCCTGCAGAGAATGAAACCAATTTTTCTCTCGATAACCAGGATTACTAATGGGAGAGTCACCATCTTGAATCTAAACACATGAAGGAAGACATTCAGCTTCCTTCTGTCCAAGACGGCTAAATCATTCTTTCTGTTCGGCATTAGAAGAGTATCTTCTCACAAACTCTTTGCCTCTGAGACAGTTCTGCGGCTCCCAAATACAGCAGAGACCATTTTTTGTCAAATCAATTTCAAGACTGTTTCGGAGGAACACCTGTAAAGGGACATGTAAAGGAAGCCTGCAGAATGATAACCTAAAGAGACTCAAATATTCTGGCAACAAACTCTAGCCCTCAGGATGTCTGCTGCGATCTGATGAGTAAGGTGTTCCAAAAGCACTCCCAAGAGACAGCAAAAAATGGCAAAAGTAATTCTAGTACCTAGAGAGGAAGGTTCCTACTCAGGAAACCTAACTGCATTTTACATCCATCTGCTTTAGTTGAGAACGTATGTGTGGAAAAGTGTCTTCTCTTTCCTGTCTCCTCACTGGTTGCATGTAAAGGTCTGTGCATTAATCTTAACATCTCTCTCCAAAGAAAATGAAAAATCAGGATGCAACTCAAGTGCAATTCAGGAATCTGAAAATTCCAAGCACTGTCACAGCATTTTTTTTCTGTCTGAAAGTCAACTTTCAGTATTGGTTTCCGAGGAAAATTTTTTTTTACTTTGGCAAAAAAAAAAAAAAATTAGCCCTTATGTTAGAGGAGAACATAAACCAAAAGTATTACAGAGGAATAAGAAGAATGCAAAACATTATTTAAACAGCCAAAACGGCATGGAACATGAAGCTGCTTTGAATTTTAATTTTATATATTTTGCCGAAGGCATTCATGATAGAAATGCAGATCTTAAAATGTTAATAAGGAAAGACTGAAGACAAAATTTTGCACACATGAATTGTTAATTTCGTAAGCTGACATCAATAATGAGTAACTGCTCAGAAGGCACAGAATGCAGTTTTACAGGACAGCTAACCAGTCAGCCAAATGCAAAGCAGCTGCAAGGGCTGTCTCCTGACCACTTTTTGCCACCCCAGCACTATGATGGCACAAGCACTTACGTGGCTACGGGATGAATCACATCTATCTAGTACATTACACAAGCGGGTGACTGCATAAAATCTTCTGCTAAAACAGCATGAGGTAAAGACAGTACCTTTTTTTTCAGCTGCACTGTCAACTGAAAACACATCTAAGGTGGTCCAAATATCATATGGTACAAACTGCCCTTTCATGATTGCAGCACAACATAAAAGAAATGGAGAGCACATGCAGTTAATGGATATTTTGCCAAGGAAAAATATCTCCTGCCTTGAATAGCTGCAGTACAAATATCCACAATATGAACATACAGACAAAGATTAAACTAGAACTTACATTGTTTTATTATGCTAAAATGTATTCTAAAAGCCTGGGGAAAATGTAATTTTTAAAATTAAGTTTTTAATACAATTAAAATGTTCATGTGACTATCAGGTCATAAAATCTAAAGCCTGTATGAAGACCAGGCAAGTATAGTATCTCACAGCAATTTTTTAAGTCTGATATTGTTATGTTTATAAAATACCTGTCTTTGAAACAACAACATTCACAGCAAGCTGGTCACTTAGAAATACGAAGTTAACTCTGGTACACTAGAGACAAGGTTATGATGATGACTGAAATATCTCATCAGAGTATTGTGATATGTAACCAAATAGATGAATTAGCCTATTTCAACTCAACTATAACCTACTGTAACTAACTATGATGGTAGTCAAGTAATATAGCGCATTACTGTATGCATTTCAAGAATGCATTCATATTAAATGTTTTTAATAGTTAACATTTTTACCTAAGGAATTTGTAAATTTAAAATATTAAGTGAAGACTTAATTCCCCATAAGGGATGCAGTAACACAGACCACACAGTCCTTATGGACTCCCACGCAAGTGTAACTGAACAATGTCATGTTATAATCTTCCCAAATGGTTCTCTATTCAATTGCATATGTCCCTCCTTACTAAATACTGTGACCATACTATAGCGACCTTTATGTAAAACTAACTAAAATAAAACAAAATAAAATGCAGAGTATATTAAAAAGTATATAAAACATCTGAACAATGTGAATGATTATGAACAGGGGACAAGTTATTATAAGTAGAAATGGTTTGCTACAAAAATCATGGCAGGCACTCTAACTGGTACCAAAAGACACAGCTTACATAGCCAAAACAACTTTAACTTTTGAGCAGTTACAGTTTTAAACATACCATAAAAGGTAAAATAGTAGATAAAAAGCTGTTCTTTTCAGTTTGAGCTTTTAATCTTCTCTGTAGTCTTTTTCATAGTTTATGAACTCAACCTTCTTGGCTAGCTAGCCAACCCACCTTCTCCTGTCAGCAGTTTGTTCATTCTCCTGTAACTGTGGACACTTCCCCCAGCTCTAAACACACTCAAAATTTATTTCAGCTCTGCAGTTACACTTTAAATTACCTTTTATTTTATTGTTGAATACTTCCTTTAGCACCTCTTCAGTGGGACAATATAATTGGACAATATTATAGACTGAAATTGTAGAAGGAAAAACAGACTAATGCATTTCCCTCCTAGTCCTAGAAATGATTTGGTATTCCCTATCCTTGAAATTCCCAGACATGGCATTAATAATTAACAGTATATGGCCTTATATACACTGAAATTAATGGTAACATCCTAAGGAGTATCAGAGTGTACAAAATTTAGTCTTTACTTAGAACTGGCTATCCCAAAATAGACAAGGACTATTTTTCCTAGAAAGTACAAGTTCTTAAAGCAGCAATGAATTACAAATACACTGAGTAAAAACATTAAAAAATGAAAAGTAACCCTCCAAAGATTTACTTTGGGATGAGCCAAGTTTTTAAAAAAACTCGTAGCATTATTTGCCTCTAAAATAATGAAAGCCTCTAAAGGTACAACATGCTTACTCAATACAAGAAAATCTCCTTTATACCTGTTGAGAATGCCACAAGTTTAAACAATGGCAGAGCACTTTTAATGTAATTACCTTTTGTGCAGCAAGATGGAGAGCAGTTCTTCGGCTACGATCAGCTCTATTAACGTCGGCTCCAGCCTTCAGCAATGCCTCTGCACAGTCCAGCCTGTCAGCCAATACACAGTACATAAGTGGAGTTCTTCCAAACTGGTCCTCTTTATCTTTCAGCTCAGAGTTTCCTAAAAAAAAAACCAAAAAATGAACAAAAAAACACATGAAACAATTAAGTCTATGAGTATCTAAGAGTAGTACTTTTTTATTAAAAGGGTACTTTAATTAAAAGTAGTACTTTCTTATTATAAATGGAGTGATCAAAATAAAGAAGTATAAGATAAACCCAAAGTTACTACTTTTTACCCTGTTTCTACTGACACTTATAGGACATTTCAAAATATATTTACAGAAAAAAGCACATTCAGAAAGCATTAGTTCCACAAATACATCTACCGCCAGTAACATTCTGCAGCGGCATAATTATAAATAATTTTTAAACAGTTACGCAGGTCTTGGCTGCAAAGATTACTTTAAAAAATATCAACAGCAAGTAAATCAAATAGTCCTTCTGAAACCTGTAAACAGTGTAACTAAAACAAGCTTTGAAGCTTACTCATAGCAATGTTTATTTAAAAAGCATAAACAAGTCAATATTACATCAATACCATTATTTATTTCATAGTGTTTTACAATATGGAAACTACTCAAATACTTCTCAAGCTTTCTTGAATTGATACCGTTAATAAGGCAGCAATTAAGCTAAATGAGAAGTTTGAGGTCCTATAAAAAAATCAAAACATTGTATTCCTATTCACAGTAAAAAAAAAAAAACCACAAACCAAAACCTGAACGAGTATGCATCCTCCACTAAAGTTTCGTATTTCTGTTATGTCACCACATAGAAACTGGCACCTATAAATTCATGGGTATCGACCATCCTACACATCCCAACTCTAAATACATCTCCCATGTAGCAACATCGTCTACAATTATTCAAGGAACACTGAATTTTAACAGGTAAGTTAATTTTTCTTTTAAAATATTCCCTTGTTTGCATGATTGTTGATGCTTCAAAAGAACTCCAGCAGAGGCATGCTTCTCCTTTACAAACACAATCTTCACTCTCCCCCAGCATATTATACTTATCTACATATCCAGTGATTGTATTCTCAGTTATAATTTCTATTCATTCACCCAGCAGAAGAGTCAAGCAGATTAAATGTGAATCAGGGAGAATATCAAGGATTAAAATTCGTTCCCTACCAACCAAGCCTCTGACAAAAAACACTTTTAAGCAGGATATTGCCAGTTAGAGCAATCATTTGCTCACTCACTTAATTTCCAAGTTCCTTTGTAACTGTTGAGTGAATACCATGTTGTTCTCATTATTCATTCTGTAACACCTTCTCTTGCTCAGAAATTGTGATTTGCACTGAGAAAACTTTTTCTGCTCTGTAAAAAAACAGTTTAGGAACCTTTCCAAGCTCTTCTGTGAATGCAGATATGGAAATTTTTTTTTTGTTCTTCACCCATGGCCTTGTCTTCTCTGACCGCCCCTTCACCTTGACAATCCACTAGTTTTGTAATTAATTTTTATGGCTCTAGCAAATTATTAAAAAAAAATAAAAATCTTTTACTGACCTGCATCTACCGTCCTCAGACACAGGTTATGTTTTTTGAAGAACACCTTCTTGCTTTTAATACCCACTGTTACACTGCTGTTTAGCCATGCTCACTTCCCTTTGACCTTCTTAAACTTTTTCTTTTGTAAGTGCTTTTGCATTCACTTCACACTGCAAGCAAGGAGTTTACTCTTTAGACTAATCTTTAGATTCTTCTTAGCAAACATTTTCATTTTAGTGTCCTTTGCCATTTTTAGAGTACACAACTATAGTGGGCTGCTGTTGCTTATCTGTGTATACTCTGATCAAGAGTTAAAAAAATCTCGCTTAGTAACACTGATTCAGGTCCTACACAGCAGTCAAGAGCAACTCAGGAGCTGGCTCTGTTCTGGGTTCACCGAAAATTCTGTTGCCAATCCACTAATGATTTCTAACAATTTAGTTTTAGGATCATATCCTCAATAGCCATTTACCCAAAACATATGAAAGTAACCTTCATTACTATTATGTTTCCTGTCAATTCAGACTCGCTGTTCTCCTTTAGTATGTCACACATATCACCATCTGGTCAGACGGACAGTGATAAAATGTTAGTACTATAGTTTCTTATTTAGACCTGTAAATGCAATGATTAAGTGGGTTTTTTTGGTGTTTAAGCTTGATTTATACGGTCATTTGTTAATCTCATTTGAACCCAAGACTTCCTTCATTACTATTATGTTTCCTGTCAATTCAGACTCGCTGTTCTCCTTTAGTATGTCACACATATCACCATCTGGTCAGACGGACAGTGATAAAATGTTAGTACTATAGTTTCTTATTTAGATCTGCAAATGCAATGATTAAGCGGGTTTTTTTTGGTGTTTAAGCTTGATTTATATGGTCATTTGTTAATCTCATTTGAATCCAAGACTTGTTTTCTGCTTCGGTTTTTAAAAGTGTATCACCACTCCTCCACCTACATGGCTTCCATGGATATATCAGAATACAAAGTACACAGAAAAAACACTGTCCACACTGATGCCTTCCCTTCCACAGATTTTACATTCTCACCATATTATCAACAGCCTCATTTAAAGCACGACATCCTAGTTCTCCCATCAAATTTTTTTAGACTCACATGTACGTAGAAAAACATACATTTGTTTTGGATTTCTGTGCAACTTCAACCGGTTTGAACAGGATGCTATCTTTTCCTACTGTATTACCACATAAATGAAGATACAGAATAGCTGTGATTCCACCCTCTGTAGATAAGCCACTGGGAACTGCACATACCCTCATCAGCGTTTCCTCATTTTTACCTTTAGAAACCTTCTCATAATGAGCGTAACAGCTGAGTCTTGGATTTTTTCAATAAATAACTGACCAAAGTACATTTTTATACTGAATAAAAATCAAATAATGAATCGAATAATAGAAAATTACATTTGTAAATTTATACAGGTGATTTTTTTCCTGTGGGACCTCGTATAAAAGCTGAATAAGGATCTGGTCTGAACTTTGCTTAGAATTAGTGAAGATAAAGTATTGGATATGTCTTATTCATTACTCTTCACATCTACACAAAAGATATCAAAAAAGCCTAATTTTATGGTAGCATATTTAAAAGTAATTTTTAAGACTTTAAAAAAATAATTTGCAATATGTTTCTAAAGGGCAGTTAAAAGCTGTGTAAGTTGAAAGGTATTTGGATTATTATTTATGTCCTGTTATATGTAACTACATTTTGACATGAAAAAATAAATAGGTAATACAATTTTTACTAATACTATATACACATTTGATACTGTTAAAATTTTAATTTTTATCAACATTTTCTGAGAAAAAAGCTCATGTATTGTCTTTAAATATCCACTTAAGTGTCATCTCATTTTCATTACTGAAGCCTATAGTTCTTTACTTCTACTCAAAATGAAAAGTTCTAATATTTACTAAATGTGTTAGAAAGCGGCATGTAGAAAAAAAAAGGTCACTTTTTTAATTAATTACATGGCCATTAGGAAATAATTCAAAATGTAACATAGGAGTTACACAGGGGAATTCCTTTTTTTTTTTTATTTTCCTCAACTTGTAAAAACATTTGCTAGACTTTCATTTCACAGTATTACAATTCCATTGCAAACTGGATGCAGTTTCAAGATAATTCTTTCCTCCACTATTACAAAGAAGTATTTTAAAAGTTATACATACATACTGTGAAACCGTCGATGTCTTACATCTCAATATTTTAGCTAACAATAAATGCTTTTTCCATTCAACAGAGCATAGTACAGAAACATCAAAGCCACTTATGACCAACCATGCAGCCCTGTGCAGCAACATATAGATACTGAGGTCCAAAGCGTAATTTAACATGGCACTGCTCTCACGTCAACAAGCCAGTTTCTTTAATTAGCTGAGTATAGTCAGGTGCTCTCCCAGTATTAGTTCAGTCTGGTAATTTAGATATCACTAAACCATATCCCACTGCTCAGTGTTAACACAGACTCAATAGTGTCTTAAATTTGTTGAAGATGATGGGACTTAGACAATCACTTTTTTTTTTTTTTAAAATACATAAACATGCATTTATGCGAATAAGACACATGCACATGGCTTATGCTCGTATAACACTTGTTCTTAAGTCAGCGGTGTGCAAAACTAGTCCCTCTCCCTCAAATTCCAAGTTCCCTTTCTGTTATATAATGTTAGAGGATATACAGAATGTAGAGACTAAGAGAAAGAAATGGGTATGGTCAAGACAAGCAAAAATGGCCTAATGCTCAAGTACAACCCAGATAAGTAGAGCAACAAACATCTGATTTCAGGTACGGCTCCCAAAGAGTAAGGTAGCTGATGACAAAGAGTTTCTGTGACTGCAGACAGACTGAGTGAAAAAAGAGCTAGACCTTCAAAACTTGATGCCAGTGATTTACCTGAAGCTGCTGCACTGGTTTATTTAAGGGAAAGAAACTATCTTCAGCTAACAGTAGGTTTCTTTTTGTTATTATTTCATTTGCTTACAAGACTCTGTAAGGCCCTTAGAACGGTTAAGGTTCTGTGGGCACTTGCTTGAAAGGGTGTGGCTGTGCACAGGGTAAGAGACAGGACAAGGACTAGGAGCTACTGTATCACCATCAGGTGCTCAGGGGGACTAACCTGATGAGATGCACTAACCACAGCACCTTGCGGACCTCACAGTTGCAGTAAATTATTATTTTCTGCCACCAAGAAAGCACAGGTAGCCTTCTAAACATTCACATATTGGTGTATCTAAAATGTGCAGTGGCAAAATTAAATTCTCTTCTACATACCCGCCTAAGAAAGGAAGTTTGTTTGATCCCTCCCCTTTCAGGATCAACATCCTTACCCCACCCAGATTATGCATTTCATAAGCTTGTTGCCAATGGAGGTCATGAACACCACAGAATCAAGTGGCCCAATTCCAAAATTTAACTCTCATATTCATACCTCATCACTTCCTCACAGTCTGTGCAAGCAGTCACATCTGACTCTCAAATCTCTATGCATTTTTCAAACCAGAAGAGGAGAAAGGGCAGGAGGAGGACATGAATTCTGCTTAACTTTTAAAAGACAGACCATCTCGTGTTACTTGCAAGAATCTTGCCTTTTGTAATATCTGATTTGAGTTTTATTCAACCTCCCACATGGCAGAACATGGAAGATAGAAGCAGGGAATCAAACAAAAACATGCAACTGCATATTTGCAACCCCGAACTTATAGTTAACATTTACAATGAAACATCATATCAGAGTTTTAGAAGCACTTGTATGCAAGCGATACATGATAAGGGTTTTAGAATGAGGAGCTGGACTGAACGGACAGTTCAGTATAATGACTATTATACACATTATTGTCTTCTTATAAACAATTAAAACAATTAGATGCATCTTCCTGAAACTCTACATAAATGTGTTAAATGCAAAATGATCCTCCAAATGCAAAATTAACTTTTGCTCCCTTTTTGCCTAGGATTAAAATCATACAGATGGGTTTTAACACTGAAGAACTGTTAATTGAAGACATATTCAGTGTTGTATCAAACATAGAAAAGAAAATACTGTGAGTATTCCCCAAAGCCTGAGATCATACAATTCTAAAACAATGTGATACAGTACTAAGCAACTCGTGCAATGCAAACAATTAGCACACTTCTGTTAGAGCGTTGGTTATACAATAAACACTTGGCATGTGCTGTGCTTTATGGCATTTAACCCATAGGCTATTTAGAAAGTCCTGTAATTAAGCATCAGTAGTGGTTAGCATAAAAGGACACTTTGTTCCAAAGCCCTATTTCCCTGTCTAAATTTTCTACTTACCTTTGATTCTGTCTGTTTATGCCTCTTATTGGTACAGGATGTCAAAAGGAACACAGCATCCAGAACACACTGTATTATTTCAAACACCTGTATCTTTAAAATCACAGGCTATTGGGCAGCAGAGTACACGTGTCCATACTCATGAATTATATGCAAATACAATATATATGTTTATATACAGTCACACATGCTCCATTCAAGCTACAGATGGGAAAAGGAAAAATCACTAAACAGGTAAGAGGGACTGCTCTAAGAGACTGTTTCACCAGCCTCTATGCCCCTCCTATGTTAATAACTGAATAGGGAAAACTCAAAGAAGAAAATAACAATGAATTTAGGGGTAAAAAGCCCTCCCTAAAAGAAGGAGAAAGTCAGACTTTATGTTACTGCATATACCACTATGGCACATAATCAAGATGCAAAGCTTGGCTGCGTTAGGAGAATGCTGTTAAGCAATCCAGCATAGGCACACGTAACGCTGAAGTACTGTCCTGAATTAGATGCTGCTGCTAAGTGCAGTCATGAAGTTCTGTGAATAACACCAATTGCTCAATTTACTTCTGGCATCAAGTTATACTTTCAACAGTGCCTGGTAAACAGCTAAAAATATTACTCTGATGCATTCTTCTTCTGCTAGGCAATACTTTTTTTTTTTGGTCCTGTCCTGGCAAAAGTAAGGCCTGCGTCATATCCTGTCAAAACACGACAAAGCAGAAAAGCCAAATTTTGCTATGATAGCAAAGGCTGCAAGGATTATGCAGTTTTCTCTCCCATGTAAAAATAACACACAGCATTTTTATTTTGTTGCTGCATGATAGCCATTAAAAGAACAGTGATTTCCATATCTGGTTCTAATGGCTGTTTTGTGGTATATTTGACAAGGTGTACCAGCAACACAGAAGTACTTGTTCCTTTGTGTTTTCGAATACGTCTTTCGGCTGCAAGGTTAACAAAAACATACTGAACTCAGCAAAAACTCTTTGTTGTTGCTTCTGATTGTTAGCCAGGATTTGAAAGCTCAGACTTTTTTTTCCCCCTCCATATGCAGGCAGAGAACTTAAAAAACCCCAGGTATTTAAAGCTACTTTGCAGTTGCATCCCACAGATTTCTAGAAGCATCTGCATATCAACTGCTCATACATTGTTTATAAGATATTCTACAAAAGAATGAACGGATAGCATTAAATGCAATTGGTGTATGTTTGAGCCATTGTATGACAAAAAAAAGTTGAAGGCCCAACAAAAAATATTTGTTTCAACCAGTGGAGTTGAAACAAATAGTTCCCTCAAACGTTTTCTCCTGTTTGAGTTAAATCACTTCTAATTGTCTTTTGAGAAAATCAGATATACCTTGTAAAGAAGAATGATTTACTGCTTTCTATACAGCTTAGACAATAGATCCACATAACTCACTATCTTGTCTTCAACACAGGTCAGCAGAAGATGCATAAAGAAACTTGACTGTTGGTTTAATGTGATTACCATTAAATCCTTTATACCCGTTAAAACTGACAGTTAATGGCATAAAAACAGACTAAGCTTCTTATTATTTCACAGTCCTTCACCCTCACCAAGCTCCAGGAATGGGATTTTAAAAAAAGGCTGAGAAAATAAACCTTCTACAGTATCAGCTGGAATTGCATTTAATTAGAAACTTCGAAAATCAAAGTCTTCACTTATCATACGACAGCCTTCCAAATGTTTGTAAGATTGTTTTTGGAACACAGAACATATACTGCTTTTGAAAACTACTGACCTGGAATGCCACACAGTTCTTGGACAGAGAGGGAAGGCAAAATCCTGGGCTTTTTAATGGATGGGAATTTTTTTTTTACTTCAGCTTCAACAGGACCAGACTCTCTCCTTACATTTAATTTGTCTGGAGAAACACTGTTAGTGTATCAGAATCAAAGTAACAAATAGGGCTGGCTCATTTTGTCCCCAAATACTACACAGTGACAAGACTTCATTAACTATAGTAAATATCTGTAAAAACAAGTTTATCAAAGTTCCCACAAAAGCAGTGATTCAAAAAATAAGGATTTGGGGCCAAAATATTTCACCCCAAAGCACTTCTCCAGAATTTCAAATTCCCTGAAACAGGAGTCCTGAATAAGTTCACTGGTTGTATCACTTACCAATTTTCTATTTTACTTCACACAGAAGTACCAATCAAAGGCAACAGATAATAAAAACTAAGAAAAATCAGTCCTAGTTTCAGGACTGCGTTTATTCTAGAAATATATATAATCAAGAAATGAAAACACATCTTAAAGATCAGAGCAGTAAGTCAAGACTAAAAAGCTTCAGTTCTGAAGTAATCAAAATGCATCTACAAGGAAAACATTTACCTGCTATTAGCTTTTGGAGGGTACTCTTATCTCCATTAACAGCAGCAGCATGCACTTCAGATGCTAACGAGGAACCACTGAAGAGGCAGTTTGCTGAAATATTCATACTCTTTCAAGGTATTACCATAGGTCAGATCTGCACCACGGACATTTTTTACAGGAATTCGGTTCTAAAAAAAAAACCAATAAAATAGAATGAATTTTATAATATTATTAAAATGCCTCAAACAATGCTAAAGAGAATAAACTTCTGCTAAAAACAGAAAAGAACAAACATGTTTCTTATTTCATGGATTAAATCTACCTCTAGCCAAGATTTAACCAGAAAAAGCCTACATTAAGTATATATATAAAGTAGTTTTGTTGCCTTCAACATAAATTTCAGTCAACAAACTTTGCAAAAGTCTGCAAATAGGACAGTGTTTATCTACAAATCCAACAGACTGTTCTTCAGTGTTGGCATGCATGCTTCAATTCAGTAACCAATGAAGTTTGGTATCAAGTATCAACTTGATATATTCCTCCAGTGCTTGATATCTGGTGGTATTTTACCATGATGGTCAAGGGACATATGCAGGACAAGGTTTCTAAGTTGAATAGTATCTTTTATTTGACCAGCTGGAATAACTGAAAAAATCAGATCAGCTTTCTAGATCGTAAGTGTTCTTCAAACCTGAGCAGAAGTGGGAAAATGTGTGTGTAAGAAAAGCCACAATGAATTAGACCAGGAGTCTGGCTCTAAATCCTGTCTTAAACTGGCCAACAGTAGATGCCAAAGAACAGAGCAAATATATATATATACACACACACATATATATTAAATAATAATTATATATATATGAATATGATTTTGTCCCCCTCTTCCAAATACTCTCCCAACCTACAATTATTTCTAGTTCAATCACTTCCTGAAGTGGACTTGGTTTCTGTGTATTTAGTACTCTGCAAATTCTGTTAGTTTTTTTCAATTAATTTCTCTACTATAAATGTGTCCAGTTTCCTCTTAAGATTATGCAAACTTATAGCATCCACAACATCCACCGGCAAGGAGTTCCGCGCCACAAGCAAACACTGTATGGACAAACCACTTGCTTTCATCTGTCTTGTCCTGGCTCTTGCATCTGAGGGCCCTTAATCCTTGTCCTGGAAGGGACAGTAGATAAACAATTCTTATCCAGCAGTAATTATTCTACAGATCTTTAACATATCCTCCCCGATCATATCTTCCTCTAGCTGAAGGAGTCATAGCTTACTTAGCTGTTACCCAGGCAGCAGCTTTTCTGTATGCATGACCATTTTAATTGCCCTTTTTTGGACCTTTTCACAGTTGGGTTCTAGCCCTTTTGAGATGGAAAGAAAACTCCACTAGTTATTCAAGATATGGGCAAAACATGGATTTATGCAGTGGTATAATGGCATTCTCTTCTTTCTCCTCTATTTCTTTCCTAAATCACGTCTACCACTACAGTTGCCTTCCTAGCCTCTTCTGAAACAGAACTGCTACCTTCACTGAACTACCACTGCCTCAAGATCTTGATAATGATCAGCTCAGGTCCACACACTATTTCGGAAATGAAGGGCCTATATGCTTGAAAACTTGTTGATTTTCTCCAAAAGTGTCAAACACTAGAACTTCCACCTTCAATTCTTAACACACTTCACATTTGGAAGGGAAAACAAACTGAGGTGAGCAAACAATAATTGTACACACCAGAAAAAAAAGAGGAGGTATCGCTGAGGCTGTACCTCATCTTCTGTTCCATGTTAATTTAAATATACTCCTTTTGTCATGACCCACATTTACATCAGGGAACACTTGGAAAACAGCAAGAGGAAGCTATTTTGCTTCAATTATTATTTTCAACCATTTTTGGTTTATTTGTTCTATAAATTTCATATATTACTGCACAGCATCTGTTGTTATTAAGATAATTGCAGATGCATACATATCCATGTTTGGGGGAAATGTTATTAAAATACCAGAAAAACATTCACTTTTATGTAAAACGAAGTGAAAATTTCTACAGCAGATATTAAGCATAAAGTAATAAAGGTAACGGCCTTTACCTGGAAACAAAAAAAAAAATCAAATACAACTTAATACTCTAATATAATTATAGACTCTTCTTCACAAGCTCCAAACTTCCTTGGAGAGCTGGTAAGAAAATTAATACAGGAAGCTTCATGGCAAATCTAATCAGTTACTCAAAGAACATCTGCACAATCACGGCATCAGTCCATACCACATCCCTGGAATAAGCACAAATACATGTGGTTGTGCAAACCTGCTCAACAACACATCAATATAGTGCATCCACTCTACATGAAAACACTCAGGTATAACTCAGACATTGTCTAAAGTATACCATACAATAACTGTAGACAAAGCTTTTAACACACTAGTGTCTAAATTGCTGCTTCTCCATCTTGTCCTCAGACAGCCAAGTGCATGCTATGCCACTTCTTTCAATGGCTAACCATATCACTGAACACTCCTTTCCTGAAGTCTGGTTGAGTTTTCATGAGCCATGAAAGTGGGTTCATCATGTCCTAAGAAATATAACATCTTACCTTCCAATCCCTCTTCCCTACAAAAACTAGTAATGGTGTGACTAGAAAGGCATGCGATGCTGGTTTCCTTGAGTACATATACTAGAACCCCTCACTACTGCAACGCTTCCTTGCTTGTGTTCACGGACATCCCTCTGCCGTCTGTCGGTCACTTCAGAACCAGAAGTACAGTATTGCCTGACTTTATCACTCCTTAGAGAACATGCATTATGGAAACATGCAACGGCTCACTACACTTTAATAAAGCAAGCAATCTCCCCAAACCCAACTTTTGTTTCAGCACCCCTATAAAATTATTTCAGAAATCAACCTAGTCATGTACCCAACAACCAGCTTCCCAACACCAAGCATGTATGGCATTTGTACCTGCCTGAAGTGACCAGTTATTAGAGTGCAATCGTTACTTGCTTCTACACCAGCACTGGTGCACTCCGTTGAGAACACTGGTGCAGAAGCATGAGGATGAGCTCCTCACATAACTTTATCAAAGTATTTTTTCTCATGAATAGTTCTGGAGCCATTTCCAGTCATCTGAAACCTATGGAACATCGTGATCCTATCCTACCACTCTCCTCTTCTTCTGTGAACCTCAGAATAACATGACAATGATGACGTTCAATATCTCTTGGAAGTCATAGGTGCTTCCATCCTTATTGAGTTTGGTGAAGCTCTCTACATTTCAGAAAAGCCATCGAACACTTTTTTGACACACTTGTTTTACCACATAAATAGGTGATCCTTCCCATAATCAGAACTGTGTCAGTAATGGATTCATGGCTTTGTTGACCTCCAGGAGCAGAGAACAGAAAGGAGTTCAAAGAGTCTAATGTGACTGGAGGTAAACAACATTTTCACTTTTAGAGCCATGTAAGACAGGCTAACAGTGCCATAAAACACCACAACAAAGTACAGAAAAGCTCAACTTGACCCGGTGCTTAAGAAAGCCAAAGAAGTGCAGATGCATACATGACAGCGCAGGGTGGGCAGAGCTTACGCTAGCTCAAACAAGCCCAAATACGCTTTAAGACACAAAGCACAACTGTTTTAATTTTTGTGTAACAGCCCTTCAGACATTCCCAGTGCTAGCTACAATCGTTGTTTCCTTTTAGGGAGGATAAAGAATATCCACATCTTTCAAAATACTTGCACCATTCTCTGCTTCCCAAGCATCCTCTCCTCCTCCAACAAAACTGCTTTTTTGACTTTTTAAGACACATAATTAATATGTTTCATTCAAAGCTAAACTCTTCCTCCCAACCTAGCAGTACGGTTTATGCTTTCTGTTATCTTCTCTACTTTATACTGGATAAAAGCCCATGAGGCATTTCTGATTCAGACAAATCTGAAGAAACCAAAAGGGACAGCATGAAACTGAGTGTCACTTACAATTAGTCACAGTGTTTCCCCCTACTTAACTATTACTTTTTTTTCTCCTCGGTTATTCCTACAGCAATATAAATTTGCCTGCTATATGAAGGAAACTGCAATACTCAACCGCAATCTGAACAAGAGGAAAGAAACAGAAGGGAAAAGGCTGCAGAGATGGATCATGTGCTACCTAGTCTACATGCACTTGGCATACAAGACTACAGCTTGTCTTTAACTTGCCTCCACCTTTTCCTCAAAAGCCTCCTCTGGATACAGAGAATACATCAGGACTCTCTACGTTATTAAGTGGACCCAGATGCACCATTGGAATTTTACACTTGTTGGAATTGTGAGATACTGGTTTTATTTCCCAAAGTTATCACTGACATCTTTTTCGCGATTTTCTTGACATTTTACCCTTTCACAAACAAATAAACTATGTTATAAAACATCCAGGGGCAGCAGCGTAAAATTCAGCAAATACTGGAGAACTTAGTAAAGCACCAGAAGCACCCCAATTACATCAAAAATTATATAAAACTGACTGCATACAGAAGAGAACTAATAATGAAAGATGTTCATAACTTCCAGATGAAAACAAGAGCCACATCTGCATAAAGTGTCAGTAATCATACAGGTGAGAGAAGCAACCAATTATGTCTACAGCAATTCTCAGTACAGTATCTTAACTCCATTGAAAGAGCTAATTCTGCAACAGAGAAATTCTGAAATATTAAGAGGAACTATAAAAGGCAAATATGTAACTTCCCTCAGATATTTCATGTATATGACAAACATGAATTGGTATCTGGAGGACTTGTTTGATAACGATCCTCATTAACAAAAAATGAGGCATTTATTCATAAGGGATGAAAAACAACAATAAAAATCAAGAAGTAACTACAAGATCTGCTTATAAAAAGTTACATAATTGACAGTATCTGTATATGCATTGTATTACTGGAATCAAGTAAATAATTCACTTTTTCTTCTTTAAGCTAACATGTAGAAAAAGATTAGCCTTGTCGAGTCACCTGAAATGAAGGGACAGTCATACGGACACCAAGAGCTCTTCAAGGTATGTGAAATTTCATACCGAACTATGATGTCTACTTTGCATTGCACACATAATCTCAATTACATCATTTTTCTATTCAGCAAAACACCAGGTTGTTAAAATTTAAACAAGATCACTCTATCAAATTTTACTGATAAAGTTTCCAAGTGAAGAATGAGCCGCTATGAAAAAATATTTAAGTATTTTTCAAACGTGAATGAATTCAGAAGACGTTCACTCTACAGATTGAGGAGCACAGGTTCTTCAGGCAGACGTAGCAGAACTGATAAAAGTTAAGTTCCAATTTCAGACTATAAAAAAAGACATGATTTATATATATATATAGGTGTTTTCAGCTCATGAAACTGACAGGCCAAATGATTTTTACAGGGTCACACATAAAGTCGGAGCCTGTCAGGCTTTCTTTGAAGCCAAATCGGACTTGCAAAAAGCTGATGTAAAGGATTTTCTTTTAAATGGCGTTATGCCCCATTTCACTCCTTATGCTTGTGTACATACTGGAAATGTGAAGAAGGCAAAGCGCAGCTTTGCACCGTTTTTTTGAGACAGCTCTGCAAGGTCTGAAAGCATATATGTACTCTAAGGTCCAAAGTTTTACTGGAAGAGGATGGAGCACTGCATTTTAGGTGTTCTTCCTCTGCAGTATTTGGAACTCGGGAAGTGGCAAAAAGCACAAATCTTTTGAAGCGTCAAGGAATAAAAATGAATGATGACGACCCACTTTAACCCTGAACCCTATTGCCAAGCTGAAACTTCCCCCACCCCTCCCACCAGCCGC